ATGCATGTAGAATTTCATCAATGGGCCCAGTAGAACGGGAGATATAGAACTATTCTCCCCCTTTTTGTGTAAGGTGTACATGATACAGTTATTTTTTTGAATAGTTGGTGATTTTTGCTTGGTATAATGTCTGAGCTAACTCATTAATTAATTTCAGATTTTCCTATCCTAAGAAACTGTTATCTGCACCGATGAATGAAATTTGAAACCAATTGTTAAAGAATGGTTTTGTTAACCAAGATTTTGCATTACACTTCCACACAACCGGCAGTTGCTCAAAATGTTTTTTCTTAATGCACGAGACGTTTTAGATAGATAAATGAGCTTAGGCTCGAACTTTAAGTCGCATAATGCATTTCCATATTTCAAAAAAAAAGTATAAGTCTGTCCTTAGAAGCCTTCAAACTTGCGGCAACTTTTTGTATCTTTGTTCTCAAATTAATCTTTGCTTGCTTGAAAGTCAATTTTCTCTGAAGATTAGCCATCTTTATTTAAAACGAAAGAAAACAAATCAAGCTTTATTTCGAACAATAAGCACTATCTACAGCTGAACCTTCATCGGGGATTTGATTCTTGATCTCTTAATCCAAGCAAGTGACATTTTATTTGTCTTTTTCAATTACAAAACGAAAAAGAATAGTTGCTTTTGAGCAGACTTATGAGTCAGTGGCACCACATGCTCAAAGATTTCTCACATCAAGAATAAACCTTGTTGTACGCCTGAAGCGATTGGTAAGAGATGGTAAAGAGTATGTTGCTATCAGTAGACAGTTGGTAAAGAGTTTGTACTAGCAGTGCTAGTAAAGGGTTGGTACTAGTACATGGTAAAGAGTATGTTTCTATCGCAACGTGGTAGACGCACTCGTACCGCGTATAATTAAAATTCTCTCTTTGAACAAATTAAATGGAGGCAATTATGATATCTCAAATACACAAAAAATCGCATTTGGCAAGGCTTGCCTTCAGCGAGGGTTTATGTATTACTTAGTTATTTCAGCATTTTAGCTTCAGAATTAAAGCAAACTTGTAAGATATACGGCTGAATGAAACTGTCAATAACATAAATTCACGAGATTAACTTACGAAACTTTATGTAAGAAGACGCAAAGGGAATTAAATATAGCCCTTCCTCTTTGTTTGTAATATTATTGATATGGGCAGTCTTCGTGGTAAAGAAATTTGATTTTAATTCTTTTGACTTTCATTTCATACATATTTATGTACATATATTACTTCTTATTCAAAAGGGTTTGTTTGTTGATCGAATCCAACGTTTCATATCCCAAGAACGCAATTTCTAGCTTGTGTTAGGCTGGAATCTGATTGTTAAGTCAGACTGCAAGATTTTACTATACACCTCGAAAAAATTTATTGGTTTTACTTTCCGGTTAATTCGTAGCTGCAATAAGCAGAAGCAGTTGCTAATTGACAGTGTATGATCTTTCATTTGTCTTTAGTGTTACAGAACAAGAAGTTCCTTCCAAAGAAAAGCATCTGGAATGGATAATTTTTCGAACAAAAGCGCTTTAGGCTTTCCAAACAAAGGAACAGTCTTATTAACAAATATAAAAAGTTCTTGATTTTTATTGTTGCTTTCCACTACTTTTTTCCCTTTATCCAGAAGCAGCAGAAATTATACAAACAATAAAATTGCACATGATTGAAAGTGCCCAACAAACCTTCAGTCTGCTTCTAACAAGGATAAAAGTTGTTGAAAAATAATTCCCTACAAAACGGAATTTTCATTTTTGAAAGAAAATAGCCAAATATTTACTCAATGTGGATTTTGAAGCAGATTCTCAACGGTACATGAAATTTCCTGGCTAATGGAAGCAATAATTGTATCTATAGAAACATTCAGTTGCTGTTACCTTTCTGAGTATAAAATGAACTCTTTCCTTCATAAGTTGTGTCATACTGGCCTCTTTTATAAATTAATAACTTACAGCTACAGCTATTAATGTGAAGGAAAATTTGTGACGAAAGTTCAGAAGGATTTTCAACCTTTTCTCTAAGAATTTTTATTCTTAAACTGTCTAAAGATTTCAAAGAACGCTTATGATACTGCTGTGTTAACAGAGTTAATGAGATGATTTAAAGCAATTAGCATTTCGCAAGATACTATAAATCAAGTCACTGGAAAATTTTACAGATTAAAAGCTAAAACTTTTATTACTAAATGAACTTTGACAGCATTTCACCATCAGAAGACAATGCATCTGTTGCTATGACGGGGCGAAATCTATCACTTTAGTTAAATGAATAATTCGGCGTAGACAGTCAGTTATTTTATAACACGACAATTCTTAGCTACAAATCTAATAGCTCTTCTAATGACGTTATAGAATCTTTGCTCAAATGCAAATCGAATGTTAGAGGAACTGTTTTAGAGTTGCTTCCTAAAGAAGGCGATTAAATACAGTTATTATGTCAACTTTTAAACCTGAAGGCGTGTACTTATTCTGTAATAATTAAGGATTTATGTGCGGAATGTGGGGGCAGGTCTAAGACAGCTGGATAAGGATAATTTTGCCAAGCTTATTGCATCCACTACTTTAAGTATGATACATGTTGTTCTCCAATTAAAAGTCAGCCTTGAGCAAGCTGAGAAACTATGACAAGATGATGAAGATCGCCTATTGAAACACCTGACCCTTAAAACCTGAAAAACGTTTTACAAAGTGCAAGCCAAATTTCAGATGAATAAAATCACCACTGAAAAACTAGATTCAGTTATTTGATATCCCAACTTAAACCCAAGTATGTTAAAAATATACGGGACATTATAATAGACGCTAAACCTAATAAATATTCTATGGCGAAAGACGGCCTTTTAAAGGAAGGAAAAATAAGCGAATTCAGCACCTGGTTACTGGATTGGAACTAGATTTTAAGTCAACTTATAAGGCATTTTTCCGCCTTCTTAGCATGCCTTCGTAGTGCAGTGGTCAGCACGCTGGGCGCGTATCCAGATTCCTAAACGAGAGCGTTGCTCATTTTTCATCTCTCGTGCTTCTAAAAATACCTAATATCTCTACAAACTTTAAAGAAAATGAAAAGTCTAGCTACAGATGATTTTCCGGAAAAGGGGTCAGAATCTTTATGGCTAGATAAATTGCCTGATTTATCTAGCCATAAAGATTCTGACCCTTTTTAAAGAAATATTGTTTTTGTAAGTGACGAAAATTTAGACAAATTGGTTACGGTGGTTGACAAAATTCGTCAGATGAAATCTGAAAAAGAAATTTATGCTGTTTCGCCAAGCATTAATATTAACGATGCTTTAGTTTCAAGAATAGTTGCCATAGAAAATTGATTCAATGCAAATAAATGATCTTTCTAGATCCAAACTCTGATATCACCATCGAAATATATATCTCAAAGTAATTTGGCGATCGTTGCCAGAGATGTGCTCGGCAGAAAACATCGGAAAACTCAGTAGCGCAACAGGATTAGCGGCTACCGCTGTTGCTGATATTAATGACAGCCGCATGTTTCGTTTATTTGTGAAGGAAAAAAACACAGGACTGCGAGTAGAGTAGTAGAGACAAAGTTATAAAATGCAGTTAAAGACTTAACTATTTTAACGGTTCTTTATTGAACTACAACTGCCATATTAATACCAAATCCTTTATTTTTCAACTCTAGAAGCAAAACTAAATCTTCTCTGTAAAAATAAATTGGATTCTAAAAGAAACTCAGCACGAAAACTGTTGACACAGAAAGATAATAGAATAATGTGCAAATTTAACATTTATTCGCCAAATTATATTAAAATATTTGTGAGTTTCTTTTAAAGTAATTATTTACATTGTATGCCGTTACACATTGGATAGCAGTCATTCATATAAAATAAAATTATCTTCTTCACAGCAGTCACGTAAAATTAGTGAAAAATTATACTATATGACAACCTGGAAACGTATTTATTAAACACATCATAAATATATAACAGATTAAGTCTCCATTGATGCTAACAGTGTAAATGTTTCATGTGAAGCAGCTCAGTTCTCACTCTGGAAACCCAAACGCAAGTTTACCTGTCACAAGTGAAGCCCATTTTATTGCATGATCCTCATGCAGTTCCTCCTTAGGAACTGCAGAAAAATTACATAGGAATCTGGCAGAATTTCTCCAAAAATTGTTCTCGTAAGTCATTTACAATGCATCGTGATCCATCAGAACCCAGTTTTCTTCAAAATCTAAATTTCTCCAATATTCACTACATCATATTCAAAGTGTGCTAAAATTTGTTAACCGTGGCAGGTATGATTCTTAAGTCTATAATGATATGCATTGTTATGATCATATGGATACGTATAAGCAACCGAAGGATAGATTTCAAAATATAGGGTAGTCGTGAAAGGTCAACATAATGATTATTATGCAGTACATTAACATAGCATTGAACAGAGTTGCCTGAGAAGTGTAAATAAGCACTAATACATGATTGTAATTAATTATTTCGATTTCGATATTCTTCATACTATGCTATTGGAGGAGAAAAGCAAAATTTTCATTTTTCATCTTTTTAAAACTTTTGAATGATCAAAGCTTCTCTAAAGAGCTGTATAATGATCTGAATTTTCAAATTTCAAACGAAATTAATCTACTTATGTATGCCATTGCCATGTGACAACTGCTTTAAAGCTTTCATCGAGCCTGCATATAAAATTTGCTATCTGACACTAAGCAGAAAAAGAACAACTCAACATTTCTGTCCCTTGTAATATCAAGAAACAACTTGTTTTTGTTCTGCTGTTAGCGGTTCTATTTATTTAACAAAAGATTAGTTTGAAGATATCTTATAGTTTGTTTAGCATTTTTTATCAGTAAGTATATACCTCACCGCTAGTTTTATTTTATGCTTGAATTTCTGCTAATATGCAACTTCATATGTACTCAAAAGCGTCTGTACTGTATATTTGGGGTGTGTTGCTATTGTTAGATCATGCGATTGTTGCTCTGACGGATATCCGGTGATTTGTGCTGTTTATTTGTTCTGTAATAAGAACATTTTTCCCCGTTGAGATTCCTTGATCCTTTCCTGTAGACTTATGATTCTGTCTGTTATTAGTGTGTGAATTATTAAGTTGAAATCGAATCACTATCAGAGTTTGTAGTTTCAAGTTTTTACCTGAGTTAATGCGTGTTGCATATTTAGTATAAGTTATTGAACTAATAAACAGAGTTTGAAGCCTTACCACAGGGAAACGAATAGTGGGGGAAACAAAAGCGTTTCAGTTTTTATGTCTTAAATGGATGCTGTGTGATGTAAATAAAGCCATACCTTCTTATAATTTTGCTTAGCAGTATCAAAATTCTTTCAGGTAATTTTAATCATCTGAGAACAGTGTTTTCAACTTTTATTAGTATGTTACTATTATTGTGGTTTTTTACTAAGCAGTGTGTGTGCAATTATATGTGTTTATATGAGATGATGAAGTAATTTTTTTTTTTCTTTTTGACGATTTTTTTCTAAAAGCATCAAATTAGCATAAAGTTGTTATTTAAAATAATAAATACTTTATTTTATGCAGGATGTAGAAGTTACGTCATGCAGTGTTGCAAAGATTTGAAATTTAAAAGAGGCTCTAGTGTAGAATTGGGTGCCCCTTCGATTAGCAACAATTTTTTTTCAAATTTCGGCGATGAAACCTCATTCTGGTTACCATGATAGTTTTAACTTTGTTTTAGCTTCCTGATTTTATTTAAATGAAATAGATTGATGTGTACATGGACAAATTTAAGCCAGTGCACAATGCCTAGTTTGTGCAATTCTAGGATGTTTTTTAAGTGAAAACAGATTGATGTGTACATGGACACAGAGTTTGTGTAATTCTTTGACTTCTTATTTTGATTTTGTATAGCGGCCATCTTGAATTGTGCCTTCCTGGCACCGATCTTGCGTCAAAAAAGAATCGCCAGAAAACAAGAGGCACTCAATTGTAAACTTTTACTTTAAAAGATAATGTGAAAATTTTATAAGCTGTATGTACTTCATGTATATTGTGTAAGCTTCTTCTTTTTCTCAGAGTACAAATTATGGGCTGGTGTCGCCAAATTCGTAAAAAGTTGCTAAACCTGGCGACATCATTCTTTTTGTCAAAATTTTTCCATAAGATTTAGGACTGCTGTTTAGATTGTGTAACCCATGGAAGGTAGGAATCCTTCCTCCATAATGTAATTGACTTTTTGAAATTGTCATTTTACCTATTTCTTGTATATGTGTAACATGGCTGGTGTCCAAAGTATTAAACAGGTAGAACTTAGAAAGCCTGGAAATGCAATTGAAATTGATGAAAATTTGGCAAAAGGAAATATTGTGGAAAGTATATGGATAGTAAATGGGGATTTGGATATGCAAATCTATCATCAAAGGATCGCTTTACCTAACTCTAAAAAGCAATAAATCTGTTGTTGTGACTCATTTTCTTCTCTGATATCAGAGCAACCCCACGAAAATTTTGGTGGTGAGGAGGCAAGATTGCGCCTGTTGTTGACAAGAGCCTTAAGCACAAGTAACAGTATGATTTTGCTCAATTTCATCCCCAACTTTGAAGGAGAGCAAAACGGGTCTGAGGGTATCCCACAGCTCTTTCCCTACCACAACATCTCAAGAGTAGTTTCTGCTTGTCGCATATTTACAGTGCCTCTATGCCGCACAGACACTACATGTACAAACGTCCATGCCTTCTCCGAGTTTCGAAATGGGCTCTCAGTATGGCAGAGTTGCTAACCGCTCTCCCGGTTGGGTAGCAAAATATGTTTATCTGCTACAAGCAAGAGATAATGACTAAAAAAATGAAATTTAATTTTATTACTTTTCAGGGATTTGTTTTCTATCACTGAAATAATAAATAGATTTTTTTATTTAAATACAAATCACAATCAAAAACACTTTTTAGTGAATGTTTATGGTATTGTTCAGCACACCATTAAAATGTTTGCCATATGGAAAAGGCAGCACACCATTAAAATGTTTGCCAAAGGAAATATGATTGTGGCTATCTTGTTGATGGGTAGTGGGTATTTGGAAGTGTGGAAAGAGGGTCTGGGAGGTTATTTTAATGGCAGTGCATGATAGAAGTAGGGATTTGTGATTTTATTATTTGGAACCATAGTATAAATTTCTGGATAGTGTGTCTGGCTGTCATGTAAATACGATAGTGATTACGTGGCGGCATGTTAAAGGCGGTATGAAATTTATATTTCTGCTATTCGAAAACGCATTAATTCATGGTAAGTGCATTTTATTTTATCCTGTTCTTATTTTGTAGAATGTTATGTTCATGGTTCTTTAGTATGAATTTCTGTCGTTATTGTTGTTTTTTTAAATTGTTTGAAATTTATTTTAGTTTATTTTGTTGTTTAGTGTCTAGACTGTACAATTCGTAGATGATTTTCAAGTTGAAACAGAACGCTGTGTACATGGTATTATTTGAAATTTTTGTTGTTATGTATTTTATTAAAGCGAGGATGCGAGATCGTAGATTCCTTCCTTACCTAAATGTGCAATTCGTTAGAATTTTTTTAAGTTTAAACAGGATGGCTGTGTACGTGGTATTCTTTGAAATTTATTGTTGTTATGTTAATTTATTTAAAGAAAGCGAGGGTGGTGCGTAGTTTGTAGATTCGTTCGTTGCCTACATGTGCAATTCGTAGATGTTTTTTTAAGTTAAAAACATGTCGCTGTGTACATGGATCTTGTCAAATTTTTGGTTAGAAACTTTACGTTTTTGCTATCTAAATTTTTTGTTTTGTTTCGGATTTTTAGCTAAATTGTGTGTTCAAAACGTAGTTTTTGCATGTGCGAAAACCGCGTTTTTGGAGACATTTTAGGCTAAAAGTTCAAAATGTAGACAAAAAATTTAGATAGTAATATGGCAGCGTGAAGTTTCTCGCCAAAAATATTTGGCGAGAAATTTGGCGACTTGAGGGCGCATATCAGAGTAGACTTGAGGGTGCATATCAGAGTAGTTCCAAAAATGTTTACTTAGATATGAGCAAATATTTTATTTATTGTTATTTATTGCTCATTTAAGTGCTACTGTTTCTTACTTTCTTATCAAGATGTAGTAATTTTCTTTTTTTTACCTGCTGTTTTTAAATATTAACCAAACCCAAATCAAGTAATATGAGTTGAAATACAGTTTTTCAGTGAAAATGAGAAATGATTAAAAAATGAAGTTTTCGCTAATCTTTGGAATATGGTAACAGGTAGTTTGGCGACATTTTGGTAAGGCGATAAAGGTTACTAGGTAGGAATTTAGCAGTGTACATGTATAAAGTCGAGTGTGCGCAATGCCATTTTTGTGCAATTCTGGGATGTTTTTTTAAGTGAAAATAGGTCGAGTGTTCTGGATGATACCGTGTTGGCAATTCTTAAAAAACGGCAAGCAGTGGGCGATTCTGTACTTTCTGCCAATTTTGCACTAATCTTCGTCATGATTAAGCACTTTTGCTCCATAAAAGTTCTAGCATAAGGTTTAATTCGGCTAGCAGTGTTGGAAACATGTTGAAAAAAAAACAAAATAAAAAAAAATGCAGTTATTCGTGAAAACAAAAGTCCAAAAAAAAAAAACTAACTAGCAGATCAGCTGGTCGCCAAATTTTCGCCAAAAAATTGCCAAGTTACCATAATCCGAAGATTAACCGAAGTTTTATTCTGCAAACATTTCATTCAAATTGTACTTTCTTAGTAAAATTTTATCCCACTTTTTTATTATATGAAATTTTTTTGGTTTAAAATAAAACATAGGAACGGATTATTATTATTATTATTTTAATACGTAAAATGTTCATATATTTGCTGTATTGCTGTATTTATTTTTTGTCTCCTTTTGTAAGAGTAAAAAATTATAATATGCAATTGCAGATTAGAAATTTCTTTTCCAGATGGAGTGTAGTATACCTCAGGCTTTCCAAAGTAAGTCTGCTACATCTGATGTGAAAAATCTGCAGCCTGGACAAAGTCCTCCCAAAGCCATGCTGCATGTCAATTTTGATTTGGATAATGAAGAAATCCATGAAAGAAAGAAAAAATATTTGACTGCCAAATATGGACAGCACCAAATGAGCTTAATAAAAAAGCGACTACGTGTGGAAATGTGGATGTATGACCAACTACAGGTTTTATATGACAGTTCAGTATGTATTTTTGTAAAAAATTTCCATGTAAAAGACTGGTTGATCTTTACAATATGGTAACTGGTAGTTTGGCGACATTTTGGAGGCGATAAAGGTTACTACCTGGGACTTTGGTAATAATGTGAGCAGTACTCAGTTCCGATTACGCATTATTTTGCGTGAGGGAAATGAGAGATCATGGGATATGTCATGTGTATTAATGGCGAATTACGGTTCTTTAATCGGAAAAGGGGGAAATCGGGAAAAAATGTGGAAATTTTGTATTTAGCTTATTCTGCTGTGTGGTGAAACAATTGTTTTAATTTGGATCCCATGGCCCTAACTAAAGTGAATTCGAAATGGTATTTAGGCATTGTGATAAAGAGAGTTTGCTTTTATTTAGTGGAGGAAAAATTCGCAGAAAAAAATCTTTCAATAATTTTATTGAATGAATAGAAAAGTGTATCCTCCACGTAATCAAGATTCTGAAGAAGATTAGGTAAGTTAGTATTTTTATATTTTTGAGGATATTATTTTTATGCATTGTCTAAATGTAAGGTGGAAGGAATTTGGTATTATATTATTGGAAAATTGTTATTAGCAATGATTTAGTTTAAATAATTAGATTGTAAGTGTAATTTTATTTATTAAGATGTGCTTTTATATTTTAAGTAGTGTTTTGAATTTAATTGATATTTTAATTAACTGATAAGTATTTTGTGAATGTTATGTTTGTAGGAATTTGGTATACGTTTTAGTTGAAGTAAACGTGCATGGAAATAATTTAAATATTGATACTAAGTATTTGTAATGGTTGCGGTATGAATTCGTTAGTGACGTTTATAATGTAAATGATGATTTAGAGGTAAAAGTTTTTGGATATTTTATTTTTTTATATGTGGAAATGTTCATATTTGGAAAGGGTAAATACTTTTTTCGCGATCAGGTTAATTTCATATATGTTCTTTTTACCGGGTTTAAAGATTGAGAAAATTGTCATGTATTTTCGTGAAATTTTTCTAATTTATGAGAAAAAAGCAGTGTACATGGATATAGTGAAGAGTGTGCGCAATGCCATTTTTGTGCAATTCTGGGATGTTTTTTTAAGTAAAATAAGTAAAACGTACATGGTTTAGTGATATTTTTTAATTTATTTGATTTATTTTGTGAATTTTATGTTTGTTGAGGAATTTGGTAACGTTTAAGTTTGAAGTTAAACGTGCATGGAAATAATTTAAATATTTAACTAAGTATTGTAATGCTTGCGGTATGAATTCGTTGGTGACGTGTATAATGTAATAGATGATTTAGAGGTAAAAGTTTTTGGATATTTTATTTATTTTATGTGGAAATGTTCATATAATTGTAAAGGGTAAATACTTTTTTCGCGATCAGGTAATTTCATATGTTCTTTTTTACCGGGTTTTAAAGATTGAGAAAATTGTCATGTATTTTCGTGAAATTTTTCTAATTTATGAGAAAAAAGCAGTGTACATGGATATAGTGAAGAGTGTGCGCAATGCCATTTTGTGCAATTCTGGGATGTTTTTTTAAGTAAAAATAAGTCGGCGTGTACATGGTTTATGTGTATGTGTTATTTTGAAAAACGCGTAAGGAGTATGGTATTGTGCACTTTTTCCCAATTTTGCAGTGAATATTTGTCATGATTAAGCAGTTTTTTGTTGATAAAATTTCTAGCATAAGTGTAATTCGGCTAGTAGATTGTTGGAAGAAGTGTTCAGTAGATAAAAGAAAAGAAACATGTCTTTACTTCGTGAAGACAAAATGGCGGCGGGGAAAAAAAATAGAGGGTTGCTGTAGGAGAGTTGGTTGCCAAATTTACGCCAAAAAATCGCCAAGTTACCATAATGTAAAGATCAACCAAAAGACTTTTTTAGAATTAGTATTGTTTAAGATCAAAATATTTCATATGGCCATTATTTGTATTTATGCTTTATAAATTATTTTATCATCTGTATTTATAAATTATTTATATTTATGCTTTATAAATTATTTCATTGGATATATTTATAAATGTTTTACATATATATTTTTACCTTTTTATATTTGCTTTGTAACCCATAAATTGCAAGATGAAATTTTTGCTAACTTTTTAGTAAATTTAAATTTACTTAATAGTGATTTATGTAGAAAGATTATATGTAAAGCATCAAAATTGATTGTAGAACTAAAATAATATATAGTGTTTATGTATTATTACATTGGCCAAAAAGCTGGTTATGGTCAAACCGAGTGAGTTTGTGAAGACCCTTTAAAGGCTACACTAATGTTCTTGTAGATCTGAAGGAACTATCTTCACTTTATTTAATTAATAATCAGTATTCTGCCTGCTTCATTTATGCATGTCATAAAAAAGTTTTGGCCAATTTCTGTTATTTTGTCTTTTGATATAACCTGAAGATCCATTTAGAATGCTGTGAATACAAATTTTCACGTGTAATTTTTCCAGTCTATTACTGCATTGTTGATCATATCCAGCTGTTCTCTTTCCTGTTTAAGAGGTACAGTCAAAAGTCTTTAATCCAGACTCGATTTTTCCAGATTATAGATCATCAGTTTAAATCTGGTAAGATGGCATGCAGAAATTACAAAATTAAAAATATGAAACCATAATTTATAAAATAATGAGGAATTATGATCTAAAGGGGTATCAAATTTACAAAAAAAGAAGCTAATATTTATTTGTTTACTTTATTAACATTTCTTTCAACGCGCATGCGTAAAGCATACCTTATGCATAGCCGAAATTAGAAAATTGCAACCAGAAAACTATTTGATTTGTATTCGTGATATTTATAATGACGAGGAATTTGATTTAAGTCATATCAAAGACGAAGTACATCGAGATTAAATACTACATTTAGTTAGTAATTATAAGCCGAATAAAATAAAAACATCTGCCCTGAAGATAAGGATAGTGCTGACAGATCAACATCCAGTTCATTGCGTGCCACGACATCCCCCCCCCCCCGCGCAGAGCAGCGTGAAATTGATAAACAGATTTGGGAACGGTTAGATAAACAAAGGATATGCCTTTATCCATTTTTTGTAGCAATTCGTTTTTTGTTTGATGAACATCGAAACATACTTCCGTTTTCTAGATCCTTTGGGAGCTCCAGCATCGGAGATTCTATTTGACATAATCAAGCTTACTTTTATAAAATTGCTCTTACAGTCTGCAAAAAATAATAAGCCGGATCCAATTCGAAGATTAAGGAACAACGCAATCATCAACATTAACTGAAATAGATAATTAGATAATTTTAGCTTATACCGTCCGTTATACATTAAACGTGCACGCGAAAACGTATTCTGTGCTTGCGCAGACGTATATGCGCAGTCGTAAAGGTCTTGCGTGCACGCGTACCTATGCGCATGCGCAGAAATGCCTATGCGCAGAAATGCCTATGCACAGAAATGCCTATGCGCATGCGCAGAAAGATTTCAGCTTTGAGGTCCGGATTATAGATCATTCCGGATTATGGGTGTCCGAATTAACGACTTTTGACTGTACTAATTATACTGAACAGCTAAATCAACTGGAGTGCAGTTACAATGCTGCATTGCCATTGTTTATCTACTTTCAAATAAAGTACCATATTGTGTCCATCAGTACACACTTCTTTTGATGATAGAATCCCATAACTTTGAAAATAATCCATGGAGTTCAGTTTTCATTAAATAATCAATTATAATTAAATTCCCTTTTTTTTCCCAAAATGCAAGAAAAAATACAGTAACATTTAATTTATATTCTTGTTCATAAAAACAAAAGCTGACTTCACCAGGGTTACATCAGACAAAAGGGCAGCTATTATGAGCATGATAATTTTGTCATGCTTATCCACAATTTTTGCTAAACTGTAGTACTTGGAGACATTTTCACTGTCGACAAGGTAGTACCTAAGTACTGAACAATTTTGTATGAAGGGGAAAATTGTTTACATATATAGTTTTATCAAAGGATATCTCAGTGCTAGAATAATTATCTTCTCCCCCACAAAAAAAGAACTAATTTTCAAATGGCTGAAAACTTGTTAGTGTATCATTCACTGGTATGGACCTGCCATTTAGCCATCTCATCACTGAGAATATTTTCCAGGGTTCATCACAGGGGGCAATCAGTTTTAAATTCATGGGAAAAAAAGAAGCCCCATCTCTCGATTCAACTTCCCTCAATCTATGCTTGTTGCTAGTTCTACCTATTACATAACTTTCGGATAGTAGCGTACTTCAAGACATTTCATGATCCATGGCCCATACTTTTGTGAACAATTATTTTGTGACCATACATTAGGTTAAAGTTATTTACTAACTTTTCAGTTAATTTAAATATACTTAATGGAGATTTATTGTAAAAAGAAAACTTTTGTATTTTTGTTGTCTTCTTATTTTTCAAGAAAATTTATCCTGTATGTATTTTAAATTTAATTTAGGAAGAGTCTGGTAATTATGAAGTGGAAATAGACTTAGATGAACTTTTAGACATAGAAGCTGAACCTGCGAGACGGGAATGGTTAAGGGTAAGTATGTGGTTATTTAAATGAATTTTATCACTCTGCAATGATTAAAAGTAATTTAATGAATACTGAAAACCAATCACATACATTTTTACTTTAAATTATATTTTACCATCTTTAAATTAGCATTTGTAATAATAGTTTTTTTTTGGGGGGGGGGACTGCTTTCTGAAACAGGTTTTGCATAATTTTTTAAAAAAGTAATGCCTTTAATAAGAAATAATACAGTTTCATTATTTTTTTAAGTCTTCATATTAGGTTTTTATTTTTATATATCAAGAATGTATAATAAGTGTTTTAAAGTTTTTGTACAGTGTTGAGCCATTAAAATTGAAATACATCACTCTGGTTGGTATGGTAGTTAGCAGAGCCGATCTCCATATTGTTGAATTCAGATATGAATTCATTTGTTATGAAGGTTATTACAGTCAAAAGTCTTTAATCTGGATGACTTCGGCGATTCCGAATTGTCAGTTTTTCCAGATTATAGATCATCAGTTTAAATCTGGTTAGATGGCATGTAGAAATTATAAAATTGAAAATATGAAACTGTAGTTTATGAAATAAAGAGCAATTGTGATCTAAAGGGTATCAAAAAAAGTTTAATATTTATTTGTTTACTTTATTAAACATTTCTTTCAATGTGCGCATAGTCGAAATTAGAAAATTGCAACCAGAAAACTATTTGATGTGTATTCGTGATATTTATAATGACGAGGTATTTGATTTAAATCATATCAAAGACGGAGTACATCGAGATGAAATACTACATTTAGTGAAGAATTATAAGCCAAATAAAATAAAACATCTGCCCTGAAGATAAGGATAGTGCTGACAGATCAACTTCTGTTCGTTGTGCGCCGGGACGTCTCCCCCCTTCTGCAGAGCAGTGTGAAATTGATAAAGAGATTTCGGAATGGTTAGAGAAACAAAGGATATGCCTTTTTCCATTTTTTGCAGCAGTTCCGCTTTTTGTTTGATGGACATCGAAACATGCTTTCGCTTTGTAGATCCTTTGGCAGCTCCAGAATCGGAAATTCTTTTTGACATAATCGAAAGTTCAAGCTCACTTTTATTAAATTGCTTTAACAGTCTGCAAAAAATAGTAAGCCGGATCCAATTAGAAGATTAAAGAACAACGCAATCTGCAACATTAACTGAAATAGATAATTTTAGCGTAGCTTATGCCCTCCGTTATACATTAAAGGTGTTATGCGTTTACGCATGCACAGAAAGTTTGTAGCTTTGAGGGCCGTATTATAAATCATTCCGGATTATGGACGTCCGGATTAAAGACTTTTGACTGTATTGCTTTCTGTTTGCTGTCATTACCTTTTCTTGGTTTCTTTTACTATGTGTTGTATAAAGTTCATTGAGCTGAAGGTCTCCTTGAAAAGATTGGTAGTAGGGGAAAAAGGTTATGAGATCTTTGGTATTGTTCTATTTGGTATTCTTGGTTAAAACAGTTGGAGCTGGGCAGAACTTTAGTTTTACTTGTAAGGTGCCTGAGACCTTGGCTAATAAGATGCTTCTCTCTTGTTTTTGGACATGATGAACTTGTGTACCTGATTTGATTTAGATCAGGAGGCTAAGAAACATTAAGAAAAACAACGGCAGAATCATGAAGGAAGGATATGACACACATGAAATTTGCATAACATATTCAGCACAAATATGATATTATGATTAGCAATGCATATCTAGGCACAGTTATGCTGCATGAAAGCTGTGTGAAAGAGAGCAGAGAGCTGGTTTCTTATATAGGAATCATATTTACTGATTCTTTGTACATGTCAAAAAGAACATAGAATTTAAACCAGCATCTCTTCAAATTGACTTTGGAAGAATTGTGGTTATTGAGACTGTAGATCATGTTTTTTGCAAAATATCTGCTTTCACTGATTAAAAATCGGCTAATCTTTGGAATACGGTAACAGGTAGTTTGGCGACATTTTGGTAAGGCGATAAAGGTTTCTAGCTAAGACTTCAGCAGTGTACATGGATAAAGTCAAGAGTGTGCGCAATGCCATTTTTGTGTAATTCTGGGATGTTTTTTTAAGTGAAAATAGGTTGACGTGTACATGGATACCGTGTATGTGCAATTCTTAAAAACGAGACAAGCAGTTTGTGATTCTGCACTTTCTCCCAATTTCGCACCTAATCTTTGTCATGATTAAGCACTTTTGTTCCATAAAAGTTTTAGCATAAGCGTAATTCGGCTAGCAGATTGTTGGAAAAAAATGTTGAGTTAAAAAAAAAAAAAAAAAAAAAAACCTTTACTTCATGAAAACAAAATGGCGTCCAAACAAAAACTAGCAGGTTGCTACAGCAGGGTTGGTCGCTAAATTTTCACCAAAAAATCGCCAAGTTACCATAATCCAAACATTAACCGAAAAATCTGACATTATCATACAAATATAAAATTTATGAATCCAGAAAGGATGGATGGAATGACATGCTGGATCACAGACCTACATCATGCATCCTAGCCCACAAATTAAGGTGTTTTGCATAGGAATATGTATCTGCATGTATGGTGTAACATTACAGATTGGTATGATAGTGCTTAACTTTAACTGTATAGCCGAGTGGCTTCAGTTGTGCATTGCATATGGATTCATGACTGTCATGATGATATCTTTTCAGGTGGCTCTTCTTTTTGTATGTATCATCATATCATGTCCATATTTAACAGCATTATCAGGATTGAGTACTGCAGTCTTACATTATGGATCATCATACCAGATCAGACCTGGAGTTATTGCTAAGACTGCCATTGGCCATTGGTTCTTGTGTGCTTTGCAGTGATCAGTCAATATTACAAACTTTTTATATTTAAAAATATCAGTATTTCATCAAATAAGTTTTAATAATTTTACAAATAAATTCAAAGTAAAAGTTGAGGTACAGTTATTAGCAAAAGCACAAAAAATTTTGAAGTATTTTGTCTGTTATCTTCTGAGTTATATGGATTTGAATATCTTAAAACAAATTATTTTGAGGTATTTTATCTGTTATCTTCTGAGTTATATGAATTTTAATATTTTAAAACAAAAAATATGGAATTGGAGAAAAGACCAATGGCATTTGTCATATGAATAGACAGAATTTAAAAATTCTGTCAGTTTTCCATGCAAGTCTATATAACTCATAATTTTTGTCTATTCCATTGATCATCGTTGCCAAACTGTGTGATTTAACACTAAAAATGATGAGTGTGACATCACAACTCGTCTTATCTTTGACTTGGTTTTATGTAAAGTGAATTAGTTCCTGGTAGGCTGTTTTAATTCTTTAGAATAATTTCAAAACTGCAAGATCATGACATCCAGAGAAATGTGTCTTTAATGGGCACAACAAGCGATCACATTAGAAAATTGATAAACTTTGTAACAGGAAAAGGTAAAAAATTATAACAAGGGATTTAATTTTTTTTATCTGTAGCTTGTATCTGTAATTATCTAATTAAATTAAGAGCAGTCTCTTCCTTCAGGCTTCTATCAGAATGATTTTCCTCATCTTTCATGGATGACGGGTTTCATAATCGAATAAATGCATCAGCTTTTACGTCTGAAGTGCAACTTTTTTTTGAAGGGGGGGGGGGGAGAAATATTGCACAGTATAAATGTAGGTTTATGATATTCATGTTAATAACAGATAAGATGAACCAAAAGTTTTCTGGGTGATCAAGCTTCTACTTTACTGATCAAAGAAAAATTAAATGCCTTTATACTTTTCAACAAAGCATATTGAATAATTATGCAAAAGCAAAATCAGTAAAAAGTATTTGTTGTGAATTTTGTATGAAAAAGAGTACAGTAAATTATTGTTGATAAATCCATCTAAGAGTTATCACAAATTGAATCAGGCAGGACACTTTCAGCACGCTATATGCTAAGAATGAGTTGATGAACAATGCTGTGATTTCATGTAGAATGTCGAAGGAGTATTCCGGGTCAGATTTTTGAAAGAAAAGGTGCTTGTGCTGCATGCAGAAGCTGTACTATGTTCAGAAAGGAAAAGTAGAAAACAAAGTTAGCATTGCTGCAGCAAAATGCACACCCTGTACTCGGCAATGCTGTATGTTGAGCAACAAAAAGAATTGACTACAGATAATAAAATTTTATTTTGTTTTGTTGATGGGTGAAGAGTTTTCCATTATTATCTTTAAAGGGCATCTATTGTATTGTGAAGATAATTATTGATTTCTTCTAAAATATATTATTTTTCTTTTTTTTTTTTTTTTTGAGTGTATATTATTTTTAAAGATTTGGTCTGCGATTGCTTAGTTAAAAATGCAGTAGTATGCTAGATATAATTGTTAGTGACTTTTTTTCTGCTTATCTTGAAAATTGATGTTTACAGTATTTCATACAATTCAGTTTGAGAGATTATTTTGTTTTATGGCCAAGATACAGTTTCGTGGTCTCTAGTTGAGAAGGCACTTAACTGTGTTGAGTAATTTGTATTATTTCTTAAATGCGTCAGGTAGGCAAGAAAGTAGTTTCGATTTTTAGTATGAAATAAAACTCAATTTTTAATGTGTGTATATTATATATATATATATATATAAACTTCTATCAATCAGATATCTTCTGTTCAGTTTAATGACCTTTTGCCTGATTTCTGGCAGCTTTATGATTCTGCACTCATAAAACTTCTGGTTTTCGTCAGAAAAGAAAAAAAAAAAAACTCGACCAAGTGCGATTTGAGGTCATCGTTATTACTCAAATTTTTACCATTTAAGAAGTTTTCTAAACTTTTAAATAAATGATAATCCAATAATGCGACATTGAGGCTATATGAATCGGGGCATTACTTCTTAACCAAACTCCAGATATTTTGTACATGCTGCTAAAGATGTGCGAGACCTTGCATTGTCATGGTGGGATATTATTCCTTTGCAATTTGCCAATTCTGGCCTTTTCTCTTTGATTGCTTCCTTCAATTTCATAAGCTGTTGGCAGTAAACATTAGAGTTGGTTGTTTGGAAGCAGCTCAAAATGCACAATATCTTTGGAATCCCACCAAATGGACAACATGATCTTTTTCAATGAATGCTAATTGTATGTGGTCCATTGTTTTCACTAGTGATAATCCATTTAAAAGAAGGTTCGATTGCATTTCATGAAATTAATATTCAAATATTGATTTATTATGTTAAGTGAACTTCTTTCATTTCATGCAGAACCCAAACATTGATCTTTTTAATGAGCCCAAGACATGCTGTGTGATTTCCAATTGTTGTATGTGATAAATTTAACATTTTTGCAATCTCTCACTCAGTTATATGATGATTCCATTCAGTTATGGATTTAATTTTGTCATCATCAACTTCAGAAGGTCAGCTAGAACACTGGCCATCTTCAAGTGAAAAATTACTATAACGAAAAATTTTAAACCAATTCTGATATATGCATTCTTTTAATCATTCAACACCATGAACTGAGCCTCAGCTGCTATAAAGAGAAGAATCTTTATGAAAATAAGAAAAGTAAAATACACCGAAAATGTTATTTTTATATTCAGTGTTAAAATGACCTTAAACTAACAGTTGTGAACAATAATGCATAGAATTTGTTTCGGTACTTACGTATTATCGCAACCAGGTTGACGCTATTTGTAAGTTTGAGTAAAAAAGTGTGAATAGAAAGAAAATGTGCATTTATTAATTACAGATAATTTTTAATACAGTTTTTTATATTATTTTGTTTTAAAATATAAAATAGCAATTAAACCCTTCCGGATTCGAATTTGAATAAGTTGCAGAATTATTTTTTCGGTGGAAATCTTTTGGCTATTGCTTTTAGCACTGATTGAAAACCGTATTCGCGATAACCATGTACACGTCGACTTATTTTTACTTAAAAAAATTATCCCAGAATTGCACAAAAATGCCATTGCGCATTTTTTTTTTTTTTTTTTTTTTTTTTTTTTTTTTTTTTTTCTTTTTCATCGCACACTCTTGACTTTATCCATGTACACTGCTATTTTCTCATAAATTACAAAAATTTGCACGAAAATGCAGGAAAATTTTGTGAATCTCCACATGCTCTTTTTACAAAACTACATATAACACGTAGGGTTGCCGTAAGTAGGGTCGCCAAATTTCGCAATTTATGCGAATTTTGGCCTGGTTGCGTTAATACGTAAGTACCTTTGTTTCTATAGCAACCTAAAAGTGTCACCTGCAAAATCTCGAAAGAAAAAAAAAAAAAAATGTATATGATTGGCAGAAAAACAGCAAAATGCTATGCTATCTTTAGTGCAAACTGAAATTACTTTTTTGCCAACCCATTATTTAAAAAACATTTTGTGATGAAGGTGTATTTTTTAAGAAAAGTTTTGCTAGAGTAGTTAATTATTTTTACTTGTTGTATATTGCAAATTATGGCTATCATCATTAAAAATCTTTGTTAGATTATTTTATTATGGCTGTGCTCTCAAGAGCTCTTTAAATTTTCTAATTAAAACTGGCTCAGATTTATATTATATATATAGAGAGAAAATTATGTAACTCGTTGTTAAATTATGCTGGAATAGCTATTTTATATGGAGATAAGATGATTTTATACGAGATTTATATGCAGAATATGGTGTTAGAAATTTTAAATGGCAGTGATGCAAACATAGAAACACAGAAAGAAAATATCAATTAGATATATTATAAATCATTCAAATTTGATGTATTATAAGTTAGGTAAAGGTAGATTGGAAAAAGAAATAAATTATTAAGAAGTATTTGCTGTGAAACTTTAGTTCATGAATTTGATTTGTTCTTGAAAGTTATTGATCAAATAAAGTACTATTTGCAAACCGAAACAATTTTCCCCTTAAGCATGAATGTGAAATGGATTAATTTATTCCTGGACCACAGACAATTGCTTATTTAAACTTTATAATAGTAGTTTTTGTACAAGCTCATCATTTAAAATGAATGGAAACCAGTAAATATAAAACAAAAGGTAAACAGATGAAATTGAGAATAATTATCTGTATTTTTACAAGGGAGAGTGGAGCAGTTACAGAGGGTGTTTACACATTTTTAGAAAGATTTTAGAGCCATTTAATTGCTTAAAATGTAAAGGGTATATTTTAAATATCTGATCTGATAGCCTTTTTTTTCCAGAGTCTTAAGTCTGCATTGTGATTTCCATGATAAAAGAGCTTTTCATAAAATTTCCAAGGGTATTGATTTCTATTCCTCTTCTACTTTTTCCCTGAGTCCATCAATAGTGATGGATTTGTACTTAGAAGGAGTTCTTTTCCAGAAACCAAAGGCACAATAGTCCATAGGTGAAATGTTGGAACTTAGCAGGAACGCACTGAAAAGGTATACAGTACAAAGTCCGTATTCCGAACGTCCATTATCCGGACCTCAAAGCCACAAACTTACGCATGTGCCTGATGTGTTTATGCATGCGTGTAAAGCCAGTAAAGTGTTTACCCATGTGCGCTTCCGATAGTGAAGAAAGTAACAGAGAATGTTATTGAAAACGAAAAAATTTCAATTGACAAGTTAGTCAGTATTCTCAACACAGCAATTACAGGACTTAACAGTGGAACTTTGTAACTGAACAAGAAATGATGTCTGTTTATAGAATTAAAGAGAACGTATTAGCACAAAAAACGAAGCAACTTAAACAGCTTACATTGATAGAAATGTTTATTAAAGTAAACAAATAAATATTAAGCTCTTTTTTTGTAAACTTTGATACCCTTTAGATCATAATTGCTCTTTATTTCATAAATTACGGTTTCATTTTTTTAATTGTATAATTTTAATTTCTGCATGCCATCTTGCCAGATTTAAATTGATGATCTATAATCCAGAAAAACCCCTTATTATTATTTATATCCTTATCGTTACTTCTAACTAATTAATCAAGGTAAAACAAAACTGCTTACCTTGTTCCAATGGGTTCTGCCAGGGCCATAGGGTGAAATTCCTCTCTTCTGTGCATCTATATCTGCAAAATCTTGAAGGGGATAATCCATAAATGATAAATACTTTCTGTACCAAACATATTTAATGAAGACGCAAACGGGTTACAGAATATTTACATAATGAAAAAGGTTTTAATTTTCGCATGACGCAGCATGGGACTTCTCTGTTCCGAGTTCTCGTGCTCTTTAAGCGAGAGTTCATAGTTCGAGATGACGTCACTCAGCCATCGGATCTCAGCAAGAGTTGAGTTGCAACACCCCTAATCCCGAATCGCCAAAGTCCCGATGAATCCAGATTACGGACTTTGTACTGTATATGCAATACCTATATCAGTTTTAATTTTTTCAAGGAATGCAGTTGTATTTTTCGAAGTATGACATATTTCTTTGTCTTGATGAAATTTCACTCTTTGAAAGTCCTTTGGAATAAAGAAATGAAATATCTTCTGTAAATATCGAATGTGAAACCTTCTCTTGATGGTACATTGAGTTGATTTAAAATTTTTTCTGATTCTTCTTATTTTTAATTTCCCATTGTTAAAAGGATCCTGTAACACTTATAATCCATTACTTTCTTTGTGTTGATGGTACCAAATTTGTACATTTTTTCACTTTTTTTTCAATAAAAACGGACATTTTTTGCTGTAGTTGTTATTGAAGTCATTTAGGTAAATTCATGATTCATCAGGAATTAGAATGTATTTCTGTTTGTCTCCTGCTAAATAGTTTTCATACAGGGTTTTACAAATTAGTCTATTTCAAGCTACATGGCGCAGCAAAAGCTGATGAACATAATGTTTTTTTAACTTTTTCAAGTTGTAAATCTTGATTATTATTTTATTTATTGATGCTACAGGTGCATTTAAAGACTTTGCAATTGATTTCTATATCGGCGGATTTTTGATTTTTACTAATGATTTAACTTTAGAAACATTGGAAAGAGTATGCATCTTTTTGAGGTGTTTGTTTGGAGTCTTTCAATGTAGAAGTAATGGCCAACAATTTTTTCCTATCAGATTAACAATGTTGCTTATTTTGTACCTAGAAATTGTGATACCATCCTTTTCACAATGCTTTCCAATTATGGAATAGGAATATTTCTCTTTGGAAAGTGCAAAAACATTTTCTTCAATTCACAGCTTGTTTACACGCGACATTTTGAAAGAAGACTAAAAGTGGCAGACAATATTTCTTATTTCTGCTGTTGCTAGAAATTTTTTATTTCAAACCATTTGCTTTTTAAAACTTTATCAAAATCATTCTAAAAGTGTGTAAATATCCTCTGTCAGTAAACAATGTACTCTTCTTAGTTGAAAGAGATGAAATGTGTGATGTAATAGCAATACTTGACAAGTTATGTGGATGTCAATTGCTGGTAATGTAATGCAATGTAACGATAATGTTTGAAGAAAGGAAAAATTCAATTATAAATATATCTAAATATTAAATCCTTCTGCAACCATTTAGGTATCAAGTATGGGGTAATTTGTCCTATACGAGTGATGGCTATATGAGCATATATATTCAGCTACTTGGCCAGATGAAGCAGTCTGCTGAATGCTGCTTTAACATTTAAATTTTCATTTGTCTGAGGATTTTTAAATACTTATGTCCTGATATAACATGTATAATAACTTATTGCACATTATAAATTAAATACGGTGATTTTTTAATTATTGTATTTTATAAAAAGTTACTTTTTTTTCATATTTACAATGAAGAATAAGCTAGTTGGTGTTAAACAGTCTGAAGAAGCAGTTGAGGTACGTAATTTTATGTGTTATTTAAGCTTAATTTTTTAGCAGTATTTATGCTCGTTGTGTTTGATAAGAATGCTATATTAGAAGGTTTTGCGTGAAACTCATAAAAGTGTGTTGGCACATCCTTGAATATAGTACAGTCAAAAGTCTTTAATCCGGATTTGTCGGGTTATCGGTTTTTCCGCATTATAGATCATCAGTTTAAATCTGGTAAGATGGCATGCAGAAATTATAAAATTAAAAATATGAAACCGTAATTTATGAAATAAAGCGTAATTATGATTTAAAGGGTATCAAAATTTACAAAAAAAAAAGCTTAATATTTATTTGTTTACTTTATTAAACATTTCTTTCAATGCGCGCATGCGTAAAGCATACATTACACATAGTCGAAATTAGGAAATTGCAACCAGAAAACTATTTGATGTGTATTTATGATATTTATAATGATGAGGAATGTGATTTAAATCATACCAAAGATGGAGTACATCGAGATAAAATACTACATCTAGTAAGGAATTATAAGCCGAATAAAATAAAAACATCTGCCCTGAAGATAAGGATAGTGCTGACAGATCAACTTCTAGTTAATTGCGCGCTGCTACGCTTCCCCCCAGGGAAGAGTAATACGGATATATTATCTTTCACTAAAACTTTAAGTGAAGTATGCGCTGAACAGTTGTCAACAATCAGGACTATTTTTGAGTCATCAGGTAAACCAACCGAATTCAAATGTCGCCGAACCTCGGGTATAAAATAATTTTCAAACCAATCATTCATTAATGCTTGTGTCATCCATGCTCTTTTATTTGTGCGATATATAACGGGGAAAATCATTACTCATTTAAATGCTCGAGGTCGTGCATGTTTTCCGATTACGAAAAGTTTGCACTTGTGTGTTCCTGCATCAATTGCGCACGCTAAAATTGTTAGTCTCGCTTTGAAATCTTTGACACCAGTTGGAGCCTTTACTGTAGAGGTTGCCAAGGTATTTCGTGGTACATATTGCTAGAAAAGACCAGTTTCATCAGCATTGTAAATTTGTTCTGGAGATAATTGTTCACTAGTAATGAGTTCAATTGATTCATCTACAAATTGTTCAGCAGCTTCAGTATCAGCTGAAGCTTTTTCACCTGAAATTATTTTTCTTAAATGATGGCAATTTTTAAATTTGGTTAACCAACCTGTCGAATATGTGCACTTAGTGTTTAAGTTCATTTCTTCATGAAATATTTTGGCATGAGCTATTTGGACCCGTCAATGGCATGCCCTCACTGCGAGACTGTCTGACCTATTCAATCATCACTTTATCATGATTGTCACTTTTATCATAACGAATCCTTTTTCTGTTATTCATTGCAAGTGGGGTGTCGGAATCCACAAAAAATTCAAAAAGTTCCTTTTTCTTTTTGCTTATGTCATATACAGTTAACTTTCCAATGTCATACACCTTGCATAATTTTAAGACGAATATGCCTTTATTCATTTTTTGCAGCAATTCTACTTTTTGTTTGATGGACATCGAAGCATGCTTTCGCTTTGTATATCCTTTGGCAGCTCCAGAATTGGAAACTCTTTTTGACATAATCGAAAGTTCAAACTTACTTTAATAATATTGCTCTAACAGTCTGCAAAAAATAATAAGTCGGATCCAATTAGAAGATTAAGTAGCAATGCTATCTGCAACATTAACTGAATTAGATAATTTTAGCTTAGCTTATACTGTCTGTTATACATTAAAAGCACATGCATAAATGTATTATGCGCATGCGTAAATGCATTATATGTTTATGCATGCGCAGAAAGTTTGTAGCTTTGAGGTCCAGATTATAGATCATTCCGGATTATGGATGTCCGAATTAAAGACTTTTGACTGTATTAAGATTTTTTTAACCTAAAATATTGTATTAAAATTTGAAGTTGATAATTTTTTAGTTACATATGTAATAATATTTCAAAGTTTTGCAGTAATTTGTATCTAGACAACAGTATGTTTGAAGCATCTCTTTCTTAGATGCGCTGTTAAAATAAAGAAAATTGTGATGGACAATGTCTGCCAATATAGAACCAAGATTATTACAAATCCACTCTATATGTCTGCGTAAAGTTGAAGTGATTAAAATGCCTTTGCAAATTTTTAATTACAAAAAGCTACTAAGATATTTTATTGTTTTCATGATACTTATAAACAGAATTGTGTGCAATTTGTATTATCACTAATTAATAATTGTTACATTAATTTACATATAAAACTATGTTTTTTTGTATCTTCTAATTAAAAATTAAAAGTTTAATCACTTTAAAAAAAACCTTCAGTTTTAGGTAACCATTGAATAAATAACAGAACATTTTTTTTTTTTTTTTTCTTTTAACTTTTCCTTTGAGAAAAAGAACACTCGGTGTTTTATTAAATGTGCTGAAATTCATATATTAAATATTAAGGGGCATTAAAATATGCCAGTGGATTAATTTATGAGGTATATTAAAATGCATTTTGTTTTAATTAATATATAACTGGAATAATCATTATTTATTTAGAAGTTAATGGAATAAGTAATTTTTATTGTATCATATAGACATACCGTGCATTATATAAACATATCATACAATAACCATTTGGTAAAATATTCTTTTTCATTGTTTCAAGAGAGTTTTTATAATGTGAGTTGATTGTGTTTATTCCTTTTTGACAAAGTGGTAGTGCTTTAAAGTTTTTTGGCATGAACAGTATTATACCATCTTATTTCCATGTAAAGAAATGAAATATTACAAGGAAATCAAAACCTGTATCTGTCTGTAATGTAAAAAGCCACATGACTCTTACTAATGTAAAAAGAAAGTCTGTATGTTTGTTCGCTAAAAACTCAGTCACTACTGTAGCTATTGTCACCAAACTTTCTACAGTTCTTTTCTGGGTTCTGGATAAGGTCAACGTCCACTTCCCCCCCAAAAAAAAAGCTTGCTAAAATCAGAGATATTAATTAAAACTCAGAAAAACTGCAGTTTTCAAGGCAACAGTCTTGCGAGCTAGAGATGAACATCTGCTTTATTTCCAAAGTTGTTGCCACTGCTCTCTTTCAAATCCTAGAGTTTGCTATTAAAAAATTTCTAAGTTTTACGATGAAATAAAAATAGCATTGCCAAACATTACATACGTTATTCCCGATTCCAAAAATTAATGGGAAGTCATTTTGACTATTCATATCTTCATACGACTTTAATCATCCAAATTATTAATTAAAAACTCTGAAAGCGCTAATTTTAACCCTTATTTTTCCGAGTAGCAACAATCTTGCACGTTGGAGATAAAAATCTACTTTATTTCAAAAATTGTTGCTTCTGCTCACTTTCAAATCGTGGATTTTGTTAACAGAAAATTTGTTTTGTAAAAAATTTGTAGTTTTACAAAATCTGCATATAAAGAAGAATGTCTGTTTGTGTGTTTGCTCACATTATTGATTTCTGATCAATTATAATATATTTTTTGCCACATTTAATCAACTAAAATTGAATATAGGTGAAATATTAGAAGGAACTTGAGCTTTTATGACCATTTGATTAGAAAGACGAAAATCATTAAAAACTGCATGCCATTGTTGCTGATATAATGAGAGAGAATTAGCTTATTTTTCTATCAAAATTTTTTATGTGGGTTCTATATCGCATCAGATTGAAAAATGTATGTCTATGAATCGTACTTTTTGCATCGTTATTAGAGAAGGATTACAGCGATATCATTCTCTCTGTTGTTAGATGCATTACTCTCAATGTAACTTAAATGGCATCAGGTAGTTCTGCTAGTTTATTCTAATTAAAAGATAAATGTACATTATTTTATTACATGTAATTCATTGTTATTTTGCAATTTAAGATTTTTTTAAATTATGACAGCTTTTTAATTTATGGTTGCTTCTGTATCATGATTATCTTAATACATAACTTAAAAAAAACTATTTTTTGCTTTTGATCTAATAGTTTTATAATATAAAAAAAGCTCAGACTTCATTCTAATATTATAATTTTTATTTGTTATTTGCTGTATTTTGTAATTTTAAATTTGCAATAAAAAAAAACTTTCTTTTTATCTCCCAGAGGTTTATAACAGAGCTTCTACAAAGAGCTGCCACACTTTGATCTGTGTTGTTATTAGTGATTTTAGTATCTAGAATATATGAAGTATCATGCCTGGTGAGTTCCTGTTGGATTGAGAATATTTCTGCAGGATACCACAGTTTTTAATTGTTAAATATTTTGTTGATTTCTAACTCCCACCCTTATGATAAGAATGTAAAGACATTAGAAGGTTCTATTAATTAACATTTGTATTTCATGTGAATTCTTTCGAAAATGCTTGATATTGCTTGCTGTAACATATAGGGATCTCAACATGCTAGTCATGTTAAAAAGTGTACAGTTCCCACCTTCTAGTGTTATGTGGAAAGAAATGTGCTTCAGCTAGTTCTGAATGGAAAACGTTTATGTAATGGATCAATATATCTGCTATATGTCTAAATGTGACTGTTTTGAGAATTTTTATGTTTCATTAGTGGAAAGATGTGATTAGAACAGGCGTATCAGACTTGTGGCACTTCGTTTTTGTTATCTTTTTGGATGTCTAAAATACTTTCATATTCTGAGTGCTTGCATATTTACTACGAGTTATTTATAATGCTGTCAAATTAACAGAAAATTTTTGTTCTGAATTAGTTTTGTCTGTTAAAAATTATTTGAAATAATTTTTGCTGTTCTCATAACCAGAGCTTTTATAATTAGTATTGTTATATTTTATAAACCTTTGTGCTAACCTGCACATAAATTTTGCGATTTTATGATTGTAATGATTATTTATGCTTCTACATAATAGACCATTTCAATTACATCAAAAAATTTTTTAAAAAAGTGAATTATTGTAAGTATTTTACTTAACATTTTGAATGGTATATCAGTAATGATGAGTGTGGTTTGTATGGGAGAAACTACATTGAGTGAAGCAGATGTCAAACTTGTCATAATTGGATTTTAAATTCAATCTTAATTTGAATCTGAAATATATATGATGTTTTAAAATAAGAAAAATTAATGGTACTTACATGTTATCCCGTCAACTGTTGGAGGAAATTTCGGCACGTTACCAATCATTACTGGAAATTCTAGAAGACATGGTCATTCATGATTGGCTCTAAATCATGCTACTTAGTAGGTTGACAGAATAATACGTAAGTACCAAATTAATTTATGTAGAGGAAAATTTGCCATTAATAATGAAGATATGAAATTATTTGAATTTCTAGTGGTATGAGTATGATATGCCTGAATTAATGTATTGAAGTCAAAGTTTGAATTTGAAATTCTTATTCTTCAATACGTAATGTAGATAAGAATCCATTGTATAAAGAAATTTCAAATAAATCTCAGTTTTGCATTACATTTCTTACTGTCCATTCATACCAATATTGCTATTGCACTGTATTGTATGATATTCAAACTTTCACTCCAGTGAATAAGTATTTTTATATGCTTGAAGAATTTGTATCTTTTCTCAAGCTTGTGAGAATGTCTCAAGTCATTTTCTTCTGAATTGCTCAAGTTTTACTTCTGTGTTACACTTTGCATATCATGTGCTTAGATCTGATTATGACTGAAATATTTTATGTGGTGTGTCTTTAGTTACATATTCCCATTTCTGTTCTGCTGACTGAAACTAAAAAAAATTTTGAACTGAGGTTTGCAAAATTTTAGTTAATAAATCTGTTTCTTAAATATTTCAAAATTATGTACATTTTGAAAAATTCTTATTTTGAGGAGTTTGTAGTATAGAACAAGGTTGAGAGGTGCTTTTTATTGTAGGATCAGTTTTTAACATGTTCACTGCCATCTACGAGAATACTTGTAGTTAGTGAACTGGGTTTACTTGTCAGCTATGAGATAATTCATTATTTATCACCTTACGTAAATGACTGAATAATAGTATTGTAGTAAATGAATGCAGTGCTTAGGTGTTTGGCATTAGGAACTGATGAACACTTGGTGTATCCTGAAGTGGATGATTTATTTCTCAAACGTAGTTATCAGATCATTTATTTCTCCAAACTATAACTAAATGTTCAGAGTGCCATTTTTAGTTTATATATTTGTTTATTCACTTGTGAAATGTTATAAGCAGTCTGCTCAAATCCTTGTTCAGTGACTCGTGTAGGACACGGAGAACAAATGCCCACCGGTGGTCGAGTGGTAAAAGTTGCTGAACACTTGTAGTTCAGTCTGGGGTTTGAACCCTGGCAAATGGGAAATCCCTTTATAGTAAAAGAAATGAGCTTAGTTGATGTATCTTTGGGATTCATTATGCATACTTCAGAGCTTATCTGCAACTTTTGAGACTACTTTATTTGAAAAGACTAGCATATTTTTCGTTAACCTTCCAACTGTAAAATCCAAAATTATGATGAAAAAGAGATAGTCATAATAATATCAAAAACGGCACTACTACTTTATACATAGATTCTTTTACTTTTAAGATACTGTCTTAATTTCTTGCTACTTCAAGATATATGCATTTATACTTAACCCTTTGAGTACTGAATTATTTGAAGATTTTTATACCCATGGGATGGATTTACTTTTCGCTATATGGATTAATATGTAAAAGTAATACATGTCATTTGGAATATACTTCTATTGGTGATGTAAATATATTTTTGAAACGGCATTTTAAAATCGGACTCGTCCACCATAACTTCACCCAAGTAAGCAGATGACGAGTCTCACTCGTCAAATGTACCCAAAGTGTTAAAGGTATTGCAAAAAAATATTCTGGGACATGTACGTATGACTTGTTTTGGTGGAGGGTTAAAAAAGTCATTGATATCATGGATATTAGTTTACCTGTGAAAATCGGAATAACTCTTTAGTAAATCCTCAAAATCAAGATCAAGTTTAAAAATATAAAAGAGATATCTATAAAAAAATAAACATAAGATGTAAAAATTTACTGAACTGATTTTTGCTTTATTGTTTTGAATTCAAAGGATTTTGAGATTGTTTTTCATAAGATGGTGGAACTGACAGTTATATGTCTGATGCATTTCTTTTAAATGGTTGAGTGCTTTATTTAATAGCCATTAGTCGTACGTGGGCAGTCGTCACAAACCACTGTACTGGTTGGGTGGCTTGTATGTTGCATGTTATTTGTATAATAAATAAGATTCATGTATAAAAGTTTAACTACAAAAGTAATGATCAAAACTTAAAACATAGAAGCTTTATATTCCAGGTATTTCATTTTGTTTTTGATTGATAAAATAACATTTGAAGTGCAGGTTTTGTAATGTCAGTATTCTTTAAGGACAAAATTCGCATTGAAAGAATGGAAATGGGAATGTGTCAATACATATAAACATAAATGTACAAAAGTATAAAAAATGTTCATTGTTTAAGCTTATAAATAAATCTTGTTATTAATTTTAGGATATTTAGTTTTAAACATCATTGGAATGGATATAAATAAATTTGAAATTGATTCTTATACTGAAGAAAATGTTATATATATTTTTTAAGACAACAAAGAAATAGTTTAAAAACAAGAAAAAAATGTTAAAAGTGGTTTTTTTTTTTTTTTTTTTTTTTTTTTCTATTTTAAATTATGTGTAATTTAAAATTTTAGTTGCATCTGCAATTAACATGTTTGGCATAAGTGTGAATACATATTCAAAGTTTTATGAAAGTTAGTGATTCTTCACGTGTGTTAATAGCTGTTGCATTGTAAGAGATAATCATTAAAAGACAAAATATAAGGAGTGATTCAAAATTTTATGTTCAAGAGGTGTATAGTTCAATAGATCTGTTATACTTAGAAACAGTAATCTCTTGTATTAAGCCAGTTTTCTTATTGGGGAACCAAGTTAAACATACCTGAAATCTGCTTTCTTAGGCATAAAAGTGTGCAGTAATTCTTTCACATTGTTTACCAACTAGATGTGGTGTCCATATAGAAGTAGCTACTGAAGAGCGGTGATACAGTTTTGAAAGATCAGGATATCTCATTTCAGGGTATTCAATGTTTACTTCACAGCTATAGCATGAGCATGCACATCATTGTGTTTGACCCATTCACATTGATTAAGAAAATGTTTGCCTTTAATTTAGGCTTACCATATTTAGAAAAGTTTGTAGGATCTACTACATTTTACTTATTTGAGTGTTGTACCTTGTGAATTCTCGCTCAGGTGTGAGGATAAATGCAAATAGGAAAAGAGTGTAAAAGACCCTTTTATTTATCACAAAATAGTTAACAGATGTCACGGACTTGCATTTTTACAAATAAAAACTAGCCACTTGCGGTGAGAGTTTAAATGATAATGTGACACTGAAGATAAAGATTAGTGCGAGACTACACAATTCGGTTTAAACTAAGAGGCTGCCTCAGGAAACCTATACTGGCAGGGAACTAACTTGATGGCAAGAATGCCTAGCCGCTGTTAAAATTAACAGCTGGTAGAAACTAACAAACATGGTGCTCACAATAACAAAATTAAGCTTTGTTTAAACATTTCGCTCCGACAATTTAAATACTGTTGTTCACTTTACGTAATTTACATTCTGGTGAGGAGATGTGATGAGAAATAAGAGAATTCAGGAAAGGTTCACAGAATAACTATTAGTAAAAGTAAGCAGAACCCTACAAGTTAATCCTAGGCATTTTATGGAAAAATTACAAGTCCAGAGAATTTTGAAGTTGTTGCAACTAACATAATACTAATATGAAGTAAATGACAAAGCAAAGAATTCAATTAAAAAAATCACTCAACATATTGCAAATTAAGACTAATCTTCAGTTATTTCTGCTGTGAATATGATGCAGAGATTATTCTAATGAAAATACCCACCTAAGCTCTAAAAAATTCTGTGGTTTTATCTTTAAATATCTGCATCCTCATGAAACATTACTAAAGTTTTTCACTCTTTTTAGTGTAATTTAATAACAATATCTTTGTCTTTATTTTTATAACCACTTGTGAAGATCCTGGAAATTTTTCTACCCAGGTACGTATAAAAATGTAAGACTGTCCAGATCAATCTCAGGCATCTAGTAACTTTACCTTAATTGCATGAACTGGAAATTTTTACCTTAATTGCATGAACTGAAATTTTGTAACTGAAAGATGACATAAATGTGTATTAATTCCTTCATTGCCAAAATAAAAAAAAAAGTTAAGGGAAGTAGAACAGTGGTTTTCCTTGAATATGCAGTGGATATCTGAAAGGAGATATAAAGTCCAATTATAAAACTACCAGCATTTTATTAACTAAGCAACAGGAAAGCATAATGTTCAAACTAAGGCTGAGCAAACACTTTTTAGCAATATGGAAAATGCTAGAAAGAATTTTTCTCAGAAAGAAGGTAGTGTGAATGCAGCATCACTTCTGAAACTACACTGCATTTGTAACATGCAGATTCAATGATGCCATCAATAGCCATCAAACAAGATTCAATGATGCCATCAAACATACCATACATTCCATACACTGTGATTAATTTGCTAATCATGTGACTAGATCATGGCTTTATTATCAATCTACTCTAGACTCAGTCTACTGAACCTTAGTATTATTTGAATATAAATGTTTTGATCACTCCTTGTAGAAATGCAGTTAAGTTTTGCAAAGTAATCACTGAATTTTATTATTATTATTCTGTTTAAAAATGTGAACTTGAAGTGCATCATTAGCTCAAATTGTTTTCATATCTTAAATGCAGACGAATATGTGGGTTTGAAAATTTCAATGGTATTAGTGATCTGAGGTCTCATCTGATATGCTTTTTGTTTCAGACAAGCAATAATTACTGCAATAAGTAGCTTAGTAATTCCGATGAGGAAAAGAAGTGTTTCATTTGATGTCTTATTATTCTAATTTGAGAATTGTGTAGATGCTATGCATCTATTTTTCTGTTTATATACCATTCTAAATAAGTCTACATCTGCTCAGTAAAGCTGGATAAACACCCTATTTCCTGTGATTACATGATTTCTTGTTTCATGATTTTTATTTAAATGTAATGAGATATTTATAAACTAATCTTTTCATTATGAAGAATAAAAATGTGGTGATGTATTCAAAGCAGTTTCATTCTTATTTCATAAGAAACATTCAAATATTTGTAGAATGATGCTGTGAAAAGTTCATTATTGTGTAAGAACCTTTGAAATGTTTGTTGCTAATTATATTACCTTAAATTAATTGCCGGCAAACTGTTGTACTGAATGGATTTCTGTATATTTTAAAACTTATGGAGTTATAAATTCTTTTGTTTTTAGGTATCTAAGAACCATGTAATATATTATATTGTCATTATTAATCACATAAAATTTTATTTTATTCTGAATTTTGAGATATAACATTGTCATGTTGTACATTTGTAGCATTCATGTCTAGTGAGTTATATTGCTTCCATTTCTGGCTTATTCTTTAAAAATTTATTTATTTTTTAATGGTATGTAATATTTTGTCTTTCATTGCTAAATATTATAGTGGCTTTTTTTTTTCTGTACTTACATACATAATAAGCCATTAATATAACTTATTGTTGAACTTAATTTTAAATGGCCATTTCATACATATCTTTGTAACTAGTTACAATTTTATATTTGTATATTATACATCAGTAACTTTGAAGTTCTATTTATGGTGGATTTTTCACAATCAAAAATCATAAGAAGGTATTTTTTCATTCAGGTGAACCTTTAAAAGCACAAAAATTCAATAAAATGATCTTTTGGGCTTTGAATTGCAAAAAATATATGAAATCTCACAAATTTTTACTGGGAATGTTACTTTTTTTAAATAATATGATCTTTTATACTGGGAATGTTGAAACTTTTTCTGTTTAGAATTTAGAATAGGCAAGGAAAATGAATTTTACTTATTTTATCTTTATACAAGTAATTTAAATGAATTTACTGCTTCAGCCATTTCCATTGATCCTTAAATGCTGTGTCTTTGTATTTGTAACATTTGTTTCAGTAAGAATAATATTCTTAGGTAATTACTTAGATTGATTTTCAGCATCTTACATGTATGATAATTTGCTTAAATCATTTTTATTGTATTTGAAGCTGTTTTTGAGATGCTGAATGTAGTAAGAGGTATAAGACAGAATTTTCCCACTCCTCTCATTTAACTGTTGATTTGAAGTTTAGATTCACATCAGTCATTCAGTCATCCATCATGTAGTCTCATTTAATTGATGAATTGAAGTTTATATTCACAACAACCATCCAATGATTGATGAATATATTGAATGAAATGATTTAAAGACTGGAGTTTTGTTCCATTATGAGAAGAACTCTCATTTAAGTGAGTGAAACTTAATAAAATTCCATTTAAAATAGTACTTGTTATAATTGTATAACTGTGATACAAAATACTGGAAAGTTATCAAACATTTTGTGATAGAATTTGTAGTAAAATACTTCAACATGCTTATTTATAAGTGAAATTCGAAGATAATATATGCAGTCTCTTTCAATCAGTATATTGCCAGGTTTTTATGTTAAATAACAATTATTCCTAGATATGGTAGCATTAAAGTTGAAATGTATTTTATTCTTTCTTTTAATAAACTGATATTTTTTTTAACTTGTGCTCAAAGTATTCTACTTGTAACATCTGTTGTGTAATTCAGAATACTGTTTTGAAAAGCATACAAGAGGAGTTATCAAAATTAATTGCCAGCTGTTTTTAGCAAATTTTTTATCCATTAAACCATTGAAAAATTCACATCTTTTTAGTCCCATTCAGGAAAATGCAGATTACATCTTTTTCAACTAATCTGGTATCATTATCCAGCCAGTCATCCTGAACATCCATAACAAGATTATTTAGCAGCAGAAATAAATTTTCGTGTGAATGAAAGTGGCTATGCATTTGATATTCTATAAGAAAAGTTGGAAAATTGCACCAAATAGTTGTACTAGTTTTTTTTTTTTTTTGATGATAATGACGTTTGTCAAAAAATCAGCAAACTTAAGCTGCTTAAATATATCCTCCCCCTAGTTCATCTTTTCAGTCTTATATGGCACTAATATTCCAGATTAAATTTGAAGTTTCATTTTTGATGAGTTTATTCTCTATCTAAACAGTATAAGAAAGCATTCAAAAGAATACTTTTTTGGAAAAGGTGTTAAACTGTATGTTTCCAAAGAAGTCAAAAGATGACATCTTTAGAAATATACAGTTTTAGAATACTAGAATGATTTGATGAAGTATTTATGTATGTACATAATTTATGTGAAGATCAATATGGAAAAATGCTGTAGGTTTCAAAAATGTGGTTGGAATTAAAATTTACTTGGGATGGTAAAAGAAGTATAGTTTAACATTTATTAGTTTGTTCGCTAAAACATAATTTTTATTTTATGATATATTTGATAGTGCATATCACAGTTGCATAAGAATTTTTAAAACAGTTTGTAACTTCGGATCATGTGCAGTACCAATCCAAGACTGTCAGCCTCCCATGTGCAAATTAAA